TTTTTACTTCACAGTCTCCTGGGTGCCTTCCTGGCAAGATGTTTCGGGCACGTCAGGAGGCCCCGGGGAAGACCCAGGACACGCTGGAGGGACTATGTTTCCCGGCTGGCCTGGGAATGCCTCAGGAGCTGGAAGAAGTGGCTGGGGAGAGGGAAGTCTGGGCCTCCCTTCTTAAGCTGATACCCCCGCGACCCGACCCCGGATAAGCGGCAGATGATGGATGGATGGATGGATGGACGGACGGACGGACGGACGGACGGACGGATGGACGGATTTTTATTTTTTATTAAAATTAACACTACAGTCTCCCTGGAATGTGTGGATTCCCCAAATATGAGGGATTTACACAGCCAGAAAGACACTGAATGGATTTGAAAAATATTCTTAGTTATCACAAAAAAACATCCAAAAATAGTTTTAAAAAATTAAATAACTTAAGTAACATTATGTACATAGTGAAACTTGGAAATTTCCATATTGAGATTAATGTCAAAATTTCAGATTTTTTTCAATAAAATTTTTGACATGAAGTTTTATGCTTTTTCTAACAAAAAAAGCATAGGTTTTTGGCAAAAAATTTATTCCTTTTAACTTTTAACCTAGTGACACAAATCCTTTTAACTTAAGATTAAAAAACCTGGGGAAAATGTGAAAATTGATTAAATGAAGTTATATGCTCAAAAATAAATACATTAACAATTTAAAGTGCAAATAAAAACATATAGCCTTATAATCTGCAAATTAATTTGAGACTGCAACGAGAAGAACCAGAAGCTACCCTCCATATCTGTGATGAATAAATAATTTATCTTTTGAGAAAACTTCTCTAATTTTTTTATTCGCCTTCTAATGGGTCACTTGGGCCTCTGGGCATGGTCAGATGGAAAGCGGGTCTTGGAGCGATGGGGGGGACAGACTCACTCTTAGAGCGCCTCCAGGAGCTCTGAGTTGGTTTTGGTCTTTGTTCTATAGCCTTAATGGAAAATCCTGATTCACAGCTAGAGAATAGGAAAAGGAGTTTCACAGCCCTCAGCGCTGGAGATGGAACTATTTTAACATTAAATACTTCTCCAATGTTGTAGCCTGGTGGTTGGCTTGTTCTTCTACTTGTTAAACAACTGTCTGGCACATTACTCCTACCAAGTGGTGGAAACTTGCATTATAACTGAGCGCCTGAGTTCTGACAGCAATATCTCTGATTTCTGTAAACTTTACTAAAGCCGGTAGGTAAAAACCTGGGTGGTTCTTACAGACCACTAGTTGGCGCTAGCGGCCCAACTGTGGGCCGCAGCCCTATGGTTAAGAATGGCTGATTTTATGTATCATAGGTTAATAGAGTCTCATACTTGATATCAGTTTCTAATAGACGTCTTACCTTTGATCTGGGACTCCACGATCATTGGTGAAGTTTGTACTGATACATTTAGATTGGTCACTCTTCAAAGAAACACCACTGGGTGATGGAGAGACTGCTGTTCTCCTCTGGATTCATCCTCAGGTTCCTCTGAATCTCCTGGTGTGAAGCCCAACTGAGAGGGAAACAGACACTCAGTCACCATGGGATTCACTTCCAGTTTACTTCCTGGTTTATTGAACAGCTCTCTCGACTGTCCAGTAAACCAGAAAGATCATTATATCCTACTGGGCTAAATTAAACATGTTTTGATTTTTGTTTTTTATTTCCTTTATTTAACCAGGTTTAAGAGTAACCTGGGCAGAAATCTGCAATACACAACAACCTAGTGACACAAAAGTAAAACACATTAAAATATTTGCACAAGTTTAAAACAATTAAAAGTTCATAAGCAATGACACTGATTAATAGAACCGCATTGAATTGTTTTTAAGAACCGCTCTAAATAAATCCAATGAAATAAGATCAGACATCTTGAGTTCAGACTGGAGCCGATTCCATGCTGTAGGAGCCATCACGCTAATTGCTTGCTTCCCTTTTTCTGTTTGAACACATGGAACATGCGAAAGAAAAATGTTATTGGAGCCTAAAGAATGAGGAGTAAATGATTATTGTAGGAGTGAATTTAAGTAGGTTGGAGCAGAGTATAGTTTTAAAAATCAGGATCATCAAGTGATTGTTTCTCTGTACGCTTAAAGGAGAAAATTCAGCTTTTGCATCACAATGATGTGGAAGACGCCTGCTACCTGTTGCAAACCTTAAAGAACAATTGATTTATTTCAAACAAAAAGTGAAAACTGGAGAAAAATAATAGAACAAACTTTCATGGACAAGTGACAAGCAATTCTCCATTATCTGCTTGAAAAGGAGCAGATGGAAGATACAAGATCTTATGGTTTCCTGCCTCTCTCCTCTCTCATACTCATCAACTTATAAACATTTAAATCTCCAAACACCAGATACTCGTTAATTATTTCCACATTATATGACACTTAAAGCTCTTTAAATATACAGTTATTTATAAAATTTTGAATATCAATAGGATTTATGGACTTTGAAACACTCACCTTATACAACATATTTCCCAATAAACTTTTTCTGAAATAGTTCTTTAAGTTGGTCTATGTTTGACTTTTTTTAACTCATCAATCAATCCATTCCATAAATCCAAACATTGATAAACAAAAACTCGTGTTGGTTGTTTGAAAACATTGTCTTAAAATGTCATTCTCTTAATCATATCCCCCCTCTCTATCACAAAACATTTTTGTATATTGTGTGGAAGTGTGAAGCAACAAAAGAATCTCTCGTTATGGGAAACACTTAATTTTCTGCTGTGAAAATTGAGTGTTTTTATAGCAGAAAACACTCCGTTTATCTTTTTTTTTTTTTAACATGTTCCTGTTTACCAGGTTGAAGGATTTTGTTTTTAAAATGATCATTTTGGGGCTTCCGATATCGGACGACCATCTCTCTCCTAATCCTGATGATTTTTCTCAACTCAACACATAACTATTATCAAAAGTTTTAGCTGGAAGGTTGAATTTGTGCAGCTGTTGAATAGCAATTGGGGGCCGCAACTGTACTGAGAATGGCCCCCCTGCGCCCAGGACACACCTGGTTTAACAGCAGGAAGCGATTCTCCACAGGGCCCATTCGTCATCATTAATTTTCTCAAAAACTTTCCAAAACATTTTTTTTCTGAGCGGAGACGAAGAACTTTCTATTCAGAACAGTGAAATATTTGGTTTTAAATCACATTTCCGCTTCCTCCCGCTAACAGAGATGATATCTAAACAGCAGAAGTTGCAGCTCAGCGCGGTTCTAACTGAAGGATTCGGCCTGTTCTCTCCTCCCCGGTCCGGTAAACAGAGAAACGTTTAAAAACCGGATGGAACCAGTTTGATAGAAAGAGTTAAAACTCACCCGAGCGACTGCTGAAGTTTGCGATGCTAGATAGAGTCTCTAAGACTCAAAGGGAACTGCTTTCATTTTCGGTTTCTGACCAAACAGCTGTTCCTGTCTCCGGACGCGGGGAGAAGAGTCCCATTCCATATAAGGTATGAGACTGACGGTGGTCCGTCCCCGCACCTTTCTGTTTGCTGCAGCGAGGTGTACTTGCACGCGCGCGGAGTCTCCGTGAGACGTTCAGGTGTTTGATAAGGATCAGCTGAAGGAGAGGAAGCGAAGCAGCGACAGGAGAAAGGCTTGAAGAATGCTGGGTTCACAGATAAACTGCTCCCGAATATCAGCCTGAGTGATTCAGCGTGTGTTCAGATCACACAAGGTGGGACTGGTTCTGTTGGGTTCCAGCTCAGGACGGAGCAAAAAGGCAAAGAAACTGCAGAGAAAATATCTAAAAGGGCTTCTGAGGTATAAGAACAGTTACCATTCCTTCTGGGAGAGGGGAGAGAAAATCTGTTTTGAAGAGTAAAGAAATAGAAATGTGGGGGGGGGGGAAACTAAAAAGGTGGAATTAAGATGAGAAAGACATTTATATAAAATGCAAAAATTCATAACTTAAAATGTTTGAGTGAAAAAGATGAGAAGAAATAATACTGATGAGATCAAAGGTCTTTCCAATTTAAATGACATGATATGTTTGACTGAGAGAAAAACAAAAATATGTATATGTGAGGGAAAGAAAATGTAGAAGAGGAACTGAAATATAAAGCTTGTGGGAGAAACTCAGGAAGTAGGAGCGATGAGAAGAGATGCAAAAATAGAAAAATCGAAATGTTTTAATTCGATTTTTAATCTTTATTTTAAAATATCAGCTGGAGTAAATAACTACAGCAGCTCCATGATGGTTCTTTTATCCTTTTCATTTGGACTCCAGTTTCTGTGTTTTAGCGATACAATTTCTTCAGCAGCTGAATCTTCTTGTTGTACTGCTCTGATGTTTTCAGGCATCACGGTCATGACTCCATCAGCGAGTTGTAATGCAGCAATCGAGGGATCTTGTGTTGTTTTGTTGCCTTGCCACACTGCAGACACTACTTAGGGCAACACTGTCTCTGTGTGATCTTTCATGTTATGCAAGGCCTACCGGGTATCTGGAAAAGATATCTGACTCAGCATTCCTTTTCCCCGATCTACAGTTGATATCAAAGTGGAAGTCGACTAACTCCCCAACCCACCTCTGACCTACAGCATTTATCCTTGCAGAACTCAAATCATAGGTCAGAGAATTGTTATATCTATAGACTGTGAAAGGTGGTGCGTAATACAGATGGCCCCAAAACTCATCACAGGGGCCACTTGAGAGCTAGGAAATAACGTTAATCTGAATGGAGGTGATAGTTTCGTTCAGCAGGTGTTAAGGTCCTGGATCTGTGTCCAATGACACGCAGGTTGTTGTTGTTTTGGGACTGATATAAAACCACTCAGAGATCTTCCTTTGACTCATATGCAATACAATTGGATGATCAAAGTCGGGACAGGCGGAGATGGGAGGATTAATTAAAATTTCCAAGCTCTGGAGATTTCAAATTCTGCTGTTTGTATTATCAAGTCAAACTTGAACTTTCCTGAATGTCAAAATTGATCTTGAATAAAATGAGTTGAAAAAATATCAAGGCTACAGTCATCTGTAAAATTATTTATACTCTTTTTTTCATTGTCCAAAATTCAAATGCCAAAGTTGTAAAGAATATGAAGAGAAATCACTCCAGAGCATGATACTCCCACCACCATCTTTTATTATGGCTATGCTGCTGTTTCAGTGAAGTGAAGATTTGCAACATGAGGAAAATGTCAAGAAAATACCAGAAGGACAGCTGAACTTAATTTCAGGTTGATCAAACTCACTAGAGTTGATGGTATCTAAAATACAGAAAACTGATTGCTAAAACTGAATCAAAAGGTTTTAGGTTTAAATGACTCAGTTCATGATGTGCAATGAGATTATTACAGCTTTTTGTTTTGTGTTTAGTCTAAAAACAATATTTTCAAAGTAACTGCAATTTTTTTAACATGACTTCGTAGAAATGTAAGAGCCAAAACACATATATGTATGCCATGATAATCTATCTGCATGATAATAATATTTGACCAGCTGGATTGACCTTTACTGCCCTCTATATAATTTGTAACTAAATATCGCTGCATTAAATCCAGCCTTTCATCTTGCAGATATAAATTTCACTGAGGGCAGCAGAAGCGACCAGCAAAAAGAACGGTCAGGGTGGGATTATGGCGGATGAAGAAGAGGAAGGGGTGGTGCGGTGAAGAATGATGGTGGTACATAACATTGAAGTTCCATTTTTACACTAGTAGCAGCAGCAGCTTCAGTTCCCTCCTCGTTGACGTCAACAAAAGCTTTGTGAGAGACTTTGGACAGAACGAGCTCCTTGTTTCCAGACATACCTGTAACAGGTAAGAAAATACACTTTACATAATTATATAATATAAAACATAACATATGATTAAAAGAAATATCAGTTTTCATTAATAAGAGTCTGGTTATGTGGCTGCATCTTTTTCCTTATTTCAAGTAATTTATAGTTTTCCTCCAGAGAGGACAGATTAATAAACTGCTTCCTGGATTAAACATATGTCAAAGGTCATCACTGCAGCATCTGAGCACAGCTGGTTGTTCTGACTATCAACCAAACTACATCAGAAACATTTCACTCTCCTTCCACATGTCTCACCAGAGAAGTCACTCTTTGTCTGGTCAAAAGCGTCCACCATGCCCATGCTGGTCAGGACTTCATTCAGGTCATACGTCTCCTCCAGCTTGAATCGAGGCAGCTTCACCACAACCTTACAGCTCTTCATCTTGTCTGGATGAGTCCACTCCATGAACTTCTCATAGGTAAGAATTTTCTCTAGCTGGTTGGACAATATATCAATAATCAGATGCATCACTGTTAAGATAGAGATTCATTAATCTGTGAGACTGAGAGAGTCCTACCTTCTCCAGACCTGTTATATCGTCTTCTATGTCATTGGGTAAAATGATGAGCATGCTCAGTTCCTTTCCTTTATAAGGCATCTCCAGGATCTGTCCAGCAGAAACATTTCAAATTTTACACCAAAGAAAAACACTAAATATGTACAGGAATCAAAGTCAATATTTACCTAAAGTCTGATGAATCTATTGCTGAATCCAATACCTGACTGATGACCATGTGATTCATTACCTGACAGTTGACTTCATCAATAACAGTGAAGGGGAAATCATCTCTCTGACACATCATCTGTACTGGTGTTGTTGTTTTCTTAAGACAGTTAAAGACACAAATAGCAATTTCTTAAAATTACTTAAGACAGTCGTTCTCAAAATAAATTCATTTTAAACAATAGTAAACAAAACAATAACTAATGTTCCTGTGTAGCTTGTATTAGTGTACTAATAAAGAAGATTTTATGCAAATGCAATATATATATATAATTGTGAATAGCAAATTAACTGATGAAGCTTGTAATTGTAATCAATTACAAACAATCAAAGGTCAATTTTCAATACATCCTGCAGACATTTCTTTGCATTTTTATGGCAAATGCAAAATACATACAGTGGCATAAATAACATACAGAGAAAAACAAGGCTAGCTAACTAAAAGAGAAGCAAATGTTTCTTTAATAAAATCAAATCCTGCTTGCTGTAATAAACTGTTTATGTTCTGTCACCTTGTTGAGTCTGAACTGATCCTCTTTAGTATGAGATTCAAAGAATTGTTTTTCCCAGGCAGCTTTAAAGTAGATGGCATTAACCAGAACCATCCTGGTCATGCTGTCCACTACTCCCTCAGCCACAATATCCTTGATTTTACCTGGTGACAACATGGAGGCAACATGGATCAGAACCAACACCAGAGAGACTGAAGCTTTTGACAACATGACAATAGCACACTGTCCCACTAGATGGAGCTCTTGATCCTTACAAATCATCATCAGCATAATGTGAACTCGTTGAGGTCATGTGATGAATTGATGGTGTGTGTGTCAGTGTGTGTGATCCACCTTGTGTTTTCTCCTCCACCCAGTTGTTGATCTTCATCCTGGCTTCCTCACTGCTGGTTCTGAAGTCCACAGCCTCCAGCTCTGCGTTGTAGTGAGTTTTTGTTTGGGTCAAAAACTCCTGAGAGAACAAACAGAAGATCCATGAATTCATCCTGGAAACATTCACCATGTATCCATGTGATCTTCATGATTACCTGAAGAAAGTTGTAGGACTTCTCTCCATACAGTCTGTTGGCAACACTGAGAGCAAATGAAGCTTCAGGATTGTTGATCTCACTCAGCAGTTTAGCAAACAGGGTGTGGACATCATCCTGACAATCTTTGATTTTCAAGCACTGCGGACAATATTTAACAAATTTACATACATGCCTTTCTGTGTTTATTCAGCGTTGTCTTGTGCAATGGATAAACATCACCTCTGACATCTGAGTGGCTGTGTCTCCTCTGGCTCCCAGCAACATCATAGCCAGAGCTGAAGAGATGCTGAATGGAGAGAAGAAGATGTTTGCAGTCTTGTTGTCTTCACTCAGCTTTCTGAGCAGAGCCAGAGAGAAGGTGGTTTGGGCTTGGAGTAGGCCATTGTATCTAAAGTAAACCAAGGATAAAGCGGTCATTCTCAAGCTGCATGACTTTGTTCAGACTAGTTTTCATTCCTCGCTCTGTGGTGAGTCTCTACTGACATAGTAGTCACCCACACTTCCTAACACAGTCAGTGTAAAATGAAACTTATCTGTGTGTGACCAGATCCCATTCACGTACTAAAGCCACTAAACAGCAAAATTTGTAAATTCCCAAGTGAAAGAAAATTTCACTTACCGAAAGATCTGTGTTGTCTTGATGCAATCCGGACTGTTTCTGCAGCAGAGAGAGAACGACTCCTTGCAGTGTCGTGTTCAGGTGAGCAGAGTCAAGTCAACACGTGCCCTTGAAGGGAATGTGATTTCATTTCTGGGAGTGTTGTGATTGGTCCTTTCGGGTTAGATAAAAAGAACAAACTGGTTTGTGGAACTGGCAAGCCTAAACTCCAACTTAGAGTTTGTGTTTTGATCAGGTCCAATTTCATCTTTCAGGACAATCTTGTTTAAAAACACAGAATCAGACGTCTGCATATCTCTGCCCTGCAGCAATAGGGATTTGTGGGTGTGTCTAGGTAACCAGATGTGTATCTACAACCAATGACCTCTTGAAACTTTAGGTCATATTTATATTGTAGATTGACCTACTTATGAGTTCAACATTTAGAACAGCTTGGCTAAGATTGTGTCAAGAGAAGAATTGATTCAAGTTTATAGATTCAGTTAATGTAGAACCACCAAGTTTAACGTATCACATAGTTTCAGGCAGAACTTCCCAGGAACAGGAGATATTTCGCTGTCTTATCCGACCTGAGGTAAATTGGGCACAACTCCTCTTCACGCAAAGAACCGGAAAATGCTGAAATACCCGCTGGAAGATTCATTACAACACAACAACGAGCCACATCACATGCAAACCAGCAGCAGAGAAATCCCAACATAGAGACAGCAGAGCTGGAGAGAAGTAAAGCAGAATGTTACATCTTACTAGAAACGCTCACAGCCCCTTTTAAAACTGGTAAAGTTGACATTTATTTCAGTAAGTATTCTTGACTATCAGCTTAAGTATAGCAAGTTCTACTATGTGCCATGCAGCAGTGTATTCAGTTAATGATCTGTTAGACTGGGAATCAAACTCCAGTCCTCAAAGTGTCCTGCAACTTTTAGATGAGTCTATGATTCACCAAACCTGAATAGAACAATTAAGTCATTTAGGCTCTGGAGAACTAATTAAGACATTTAATTCCAGGGTTTTGTGCCTGTGGAGAATCTAAAAACTGCAGGACAGCCTTGAGGACTGGAGTTTGACATCTGTGGACTAAACGGCGTTGTCTTAATAAAAGAATACTTTTATAAAATCAATTTTAACTTTACAAAAGTACACATTTAAGTATGAAACAAGTACATCAATCTATATACTATTAATGTACTAAATATATTCCAGTAGTTCTCTTTTTGGTTCAATAAGAATCTTTACCACAAATGGACTCTTACCTGTGCAACCAATTTTCTATTTGCATACTTCTACTGTTTATATTTGCTTACTTACTAATAGTTTAAGTACAATAAGCCTTATTCGTTACTGAACACAGCGAGAGTTTTAACAAATATGTAAAAAAATGTATATATATACTACAGTTTTATGGCTGGTTATACTTCATTGAAAGCTGCTGGTTAAACATGAAGCTTTTCCTGCCTTCTGCTCAGTTTATCCACATCACCTTTGAGTATGGCTAGTTCGCTACATTCACACACAAATATTTCTCAAGTAGCTCAAACAACTAAAAATTTCTCATGTGTTTGCTTGACAGGTAACACATGTCGAGATAACCCATCACAAAAATGCCTGAGCCATTGAATTGATCAACATTCCCACGTTGCTTTGGAAAACAGTTGTTGCTTGATACTTCAAGGTGCTTCAGTGCAAGTTTATTTGTGAAAAACTATTTATACAAAGCATCCTATAAAAGTATAAAAACATGTAACATCACATAAAAGTAAACAGTTAACAGAACTTTAGCACCTGAGGTGCGACTGAAATGAAGGACCTCTGATAGTAAACAGCAGAAAACTTTTCTCAGTCCTAATTTAATGGACAGAAGGCAAATAATATTGTTGTAGTTCAGGCGACCTCCTCAGATGAACAATACCAGCTCTGCTGGGCTAAGCTGTAAATCTGGGTTACTTCAATATTTTTTGTGCCTTAAGCTTTTAGAAGCTTTGCTTTTTGGTAGAATAAGAGCTTCTGAAATTTTCTAACTCTGGCAGCTTGTGCTGATTCAGTCATCATGCTATAAAACTTAATGAGGCGGCGTCACCCTCACAGCATTGATTCGGTGCAATCGGTCGATCTCAGATATAGCAGCTCGCTGCTCCCTCATCTGCTGTGGAGTGACGTCATTCTGACATCGACTGTCCCATAATAGTGGGAATGTCGGCACTTCTCAGAGAGCCGGCTTTCTGTGAAACCACTCAGAGATCTTCCTTTGACTCATATGCAATACAATTGGATGATCAAAGTCGGGACACGCGAAGATGGGAGGATTAGTCAACATTTCCAAGCTCTGGAGATTTCAAATTCTGCTGTTTGTATTATTAAGTAGAACTTGAACTTTTCCCGAATGTCAAAATTGATCTTGAATATCAATGAGTTGAAAAAATACCCAGGCTACGGTCATGTGTAAAATTATTTATATTCTTTTTTTTCATTGTCCAAAATTCAAATGCCAAAGTTGTAAAGAATATGAAGAGAAATCACTCCAGAGCATGATACTCCCACCACCATCTTTTATTATGGCTATGCTGCTGTTTCAGTGAAGTGCAGATATACAACATGAGGAAAATGTCAAGAAAATCCCAGAAGGACAGCTGAACTTAATTTCAGGTTGATCAAACTCACTACAGTTGATGGTATCTAAAATACAGAAAACTGATTGCTAAAACTGAATCAAAAGGTTTTAGGTTTAAATGACTCAGTTCATGATGTGCAATGAGATTTGTTTTGTGTTTAGTCTGAAACAATATTTTCAATACAAACTGACTGCAAGTGTTTTAACATGACCTTGTTGAAATGTAAGACCCATGACACATATATGTATGCCATGATAATCTATCTGGCATACATATATGATAATAATATTTGACCAGCTGGACTGACCTTTACTGCCCTCTATATAATTTGCAACTAAATATCTGCTGCATTAAATCCAGCCTTTCATCTTGCAGACATAAATTTCACAGAGGGCAGCAGAAGCGACCAGCAAAAAGAACGGTCAGGGTGGGATTATGGCGGATGAAGAAGAGGAAGGGGTGGTCTGCATTGAAGAATGATGGATTTAAATAGCCACTGAAATTCCTACTTATTATACTGGTAGCAGAAGCAGCTTCAGTTCCCTCCTCGTTCACGTCAACAAAAGCTTTGTGAGAGACTTTGGACACAACGAGCTCCTTGTTTCCAGACATACCTGTAACAGGTAAGAAAATACACTTTACATAATTATACAATATAAAACATAACATATGATTAAAATAAATATCAGTTTTCATTTATAAGAGTCTGGTTATGTGGCTGCATCTTCCTCCTTATTTCATGGTAATTTATAGTTTTCCTCCAGAGAGGATGGATTAATAAACTGTTGAATGGATTAAACATATGTCAAAGGTCATCACTGCAGCATCTGAGCACAGCATCTGCTGTGCTCAAAAAATAGTTCTTGTTCCAGAAGTGGACTGGGATGTGAAGTAGTAGTTTATTAGGCTGTGGAAAACTCTCTGACAACAGCCTGAGGTGAACCTCTGTGAAAAGTGATGCTAATGCAGGAAACTGGACTTTTTAAAAGTTGAAAGGAAATCCAGCTCTTAGATTTTAGTCAAAACAGCTAAAAACAGTTTCTGTATAAGAAACATTTCACTCTCCTTCCACATGTCTCACCAGAGAAGTCACTCTTTGTCTGGTCAAAAGCGTCCACCATGCCCATGCTGGTCAGGACTTCATTCAGGTCATACGTCTCCTCCAGCTTGAATCGAGGCAGCTTCACCACAACCTTACGGCTCTTCATCTTGTCTGGATGAGTCCACTCCATGAACTTCTCATAGGTCAGAAGTTTCTCTAGCTGGTTGGACAATATATCAATAATCAGATGCATCACTGTTAAGATAGAGATTCATTAATCTGTGAGACTGAGAGAGTCCTACCTTCTCCAGACCTGTTATATCGTCTTCTATGTCATTGGGTAAAATGATGAGCATGCTCAGTTCCTTTCCTTTATAAGGCATCTCCAGGATCTGTCCAGCAGAAACATTTCAGATTTTACACCAAAGAAAAACACTAAATATGTACAGGAATCAGAGTCAATATTTACCTAAAGTCTGATGAATCTATTGCTGAATCCAATACCTGACTGATGACCATGTGATTCATTACCTGACAGTTGACTTCATCAATAACAGTGAAGGGGAAATCATCTTCCTGACACATCATCTGTACTGGTGTTGTTGTTTTCTTAAGACAGTTAAAGACACAAATAGCAATTTCTTAAAATTACTTAAGACAGTCGTTCTCAAAATAAATTCATTTTAAACAATAGTAAACAAAACAATGACTAATGTTCCTGTGTAGCTTGTATTAGTGTACTAATAAAGAAGATTTTATGCAAATGCAATATATAAAAATATATAATTGTGAATAGCAAATTAACTGATGAAGCTAGTAATTGTAATCAATTACAAACAATCAAAGGTCAATTTTCAATCAATCAATCAATCAATCAAATTTTATTTGTATAGCACATTTCAGCTACAAGGTATTTCAAAGTGCTTTACATCATAAACACAAAACACAAAGGCATGCAACATAGAATAAAATACCAAGGTTTTCTTTTTTTTTTTTTTCCCTCTTTTTTCCCTTTCTTCCCCCTTCCCTTTGACACAGAATTTAAGCGCCTGTTACCGCCGGACTCCGCCGTCCGTTTAACCACGGGTATTCGCCGGGCCCCTTTGCCCACAACAGGAAAAATATATATATATATAAATTACATACATATCCACAAAATCAAATCCATACATATTACATTTCAAATGCAACTCTAAACAGGTGCGTTTTTACTTGAGATTTGAAGGAAGTCAGGGTTTCCGCTGTTTTACAGTTTTCTGGAAGTTTGTTCCAAATTTTTGGTCCATAGATGCTGAAAGCTGCTTCTCCTCTTTTGGTTCTGGTTCTGGGGATGCAGAGCAGACCAGAACCAGAAGACCTGAGAGGTCTGGAAGGTTGATACAACAACAGCAGATCTTTGATGTATTGTGGTGCTAAACCATTCAGTGATTTATAAACTAACAACAGTATTTTAAAATCTATTCTTTGAGCTACAGGGAGCCAGTGGAGGGACTTTAAAACTGGTGTTATGTGCTCTATTTTCCTGGTTCTAGTGAGAACGCGAGCAGCAGCATTCTGGATCAGTTGCAGCTGTTTGATTGATTTGTTGGACAGGCCTGTGAAGATGCTGTTGCAATAATCAATGCGACTAAAGACAAACGCATGAATGAGTTTCTCTAGATCTGGCTGAGACATTAGTCCTCTAATCCTGGAGATGTTCTTCAGGTGATAGAAGGCCGATTTTGTTACTGTCTTTATGTGGCTCTGAAGGTTCAAGTCCGAGTCCATCACTACTCCCAGGTTTCGGGCCTGATCGCTAGGTTTTAGTTGTAATAACTGAAGCTGTGCATTGACTCTAGATCGTTCCTCTTTAGGTCCAAAAATAATGACTTCAGTTTTATTTTTGTTCAGTTGGAGAAAGTTTTGGCACATCCACACATTTATCTGTTCTAAGCATTTATTCAGTGATTGGATGGGTTCAGAGTCACCTGGTGACATCGTAATGTAGAGCTGTGTGTCATCCGCATAGTTGTGGTAGCTAATATCAATACATCCTGCAGACATTTCTTTGTATTTTTATGGCAATTGTGAAATACATACAGTGGCATAAATAACATAGAGAGAAAAACAAGGCTAGCTAACTAAAAGAGAAGCAAATGTTTCTTTAATAAATTCAAATCCTGCTTGCTGTAAGAAACTGTTTATGTTCTGTCACCTTGTTGAGTCTGAACTGATCCTCTTTGGTATCAGATTCAAAGAATTGTTTTTCCCAGGCAGCTTTAAAGTAGATGGCATTAACCAGAACCATCCTGGTCATGCTGTCCACTACTCCCTCAGCCACAATGTCCTTGATTTTACCTGGTGACAACATGGAGGCAACATGGATCAGAACCAACACCAGAGAGACTGAAGCTTTTAACAACATGACAATAACACACTGTCCCACTAGATGGAGCTCTTGATCCTTACAAATCATCATCAGTATTGTGTGAACTCGTTGAGGTCATGTGATGAATTGATGGTGTGTGTGTCAGTGTGTGTGATCCACCTTGTGTTTTCTCCTCCACCCAGTTATTGATCTTCATCCTGGCTTCCTCACTGCTGGTTCTGAAGTCCACAGCCTCCAGCTCTGCGTTGTAGTGAGTTTTTGTTTGGGTCAAAAACTCCTGAGAGAACAAACAGAAGATCCATGAATTCATCCTGGAAACATTCACCATGTATCCATGTGATCTTTATGATTACCTGAAGAAAGTTGTAGGACTTCTCTCCATACAGTCTGTTGGCAACACTGAGAGCAAATGTAGCTTCTGGATTGTTGATCTCACTCAGCAGTTTAGCAAACAGGGTGTGGACATCATCCTGACAATCTTGGATTTTCAAGCACTGCGGACAATATTTAACAAATTTACATACATGCCTTTCTGTGTTTTATTCAGCGTTGTCTTGTGCAATGGATAAACATCACCTCTGACATCTGAGTGGCTGTGTCTCCTCTGGCTCCCAGCAACACCATAGCCAGAGCTGAAGAGATGCTGAATGGAGAGAAGATGTTTGCAGTCTTGTTGTCCTCACTCAGCTTTCTGAGCAGAGCTAGAGAGAAGGTGGTGTTGGCCTCAGAAAGAGGGCTTGAGAAGGCCATTGTTTCTGATATGAATAAAGGAGATCAGGTGTTTCATCATTATTTATTCTTGTCCAGTTATACCAGTAAAATACAGTGAAAATCCCATCAATACCATCTTTTTTTTAAGTCGTTGTAAGAAAACCTTCTGAAGAGTCATGGGGCTGTCATAAGTGAAAGTTGTGCAATGAAACTTGGGTCCAGGCCGCCATGACACTGCAGAGATTGAGAAACTTCCCTGCACCAAACCTCTATCTACACTGAGGCTGTGCAAGGTGTGATGAACCCAGACACAGGGAGGTAGGGGGCAAAATGCAAAGCCACCAATAAACACTCCTGGTTACTGAAATTGTCAACTGTGCGCATACTATTTTTGATTTCAGCATTCTTTACTTTTAGGATGTACTTTTTGTATCAACCTGAAAGGTTTGTTAATAACAAAAGCAAAACCAGGAGAAGTTAGGAGAACCAGAAAGTCAATCAATCTCTGATAAACATGACTCATGCATCTTTGTAGCCAAAGTACATTTAATGGTTGTGGTTCCCGGAAACCTGGGATGGACTAATGTGGTCATTTTACTCCCTCTCTCTCTGAACATGTGACGCTGTGATTTTAACTTCCTTTAGCATCTAACAGGATATTTATTCTTTTTCTGTGTAATAAACATACTCTGTATGGAATACTTTATGGGCAGTGATACTTCAGGTTTCAATACTTCTGGTATTAGATAGCCTTCAGATTCACTACAAACATGACTCTATTACCCTTTTCATTTTATCATGCTCAGTTTAACATAATGAATTTCATAAAATAAATTCTATTCGCAGATGGTTTTTTATTTTCTAAACCATGTTAGTTTTTCTTTGTGATTTAACTCAAATACCTCGTCCATTTTTCTCAGACCTTTTGTATTTTAAACTCTCAAAATAGAAATGTATGAATTTGCTTTTTACTATTTTAATAGCTTTTGCGACTTCTCTTTTGCACAAATAACAAATGCTTTTATATTGAAGCATTTAAACTTTTAATTGTATCCGCTGTTTTAACAGAATTTATCTTATACAAAAAATATATACTCTTTAACCTCTTTAACATTTATCACATGCATCAAAATATATTTTAACTGACCTGTGATGTAGAAAAGATGAGTCACACAAAGAGCTCAGCTTCCTTTAGCATCTAACAGGACTGTATGTTCTTCTATGTGCCAACCTGCCCAACCTCCCCCTAGCGGCTGTTTGTGGAATCGCACTGAAACTGAAATAATACTCATTTATTACATTTTGAAAATAAGGACAAAGAACCAACTTTGGGGTGTTTTTGTATGCTTAGTGTTGTCACTACTTGTTGCAGCTTGTTTTTGTTTTTTTGGGAGGGTGCAGGGTTTGCAAGCAAATACATTTAACTTTCAGCTTATCATCACCACTTGGCCCACAGCTTCAGCAGCAGCAGCAGATTCTTCATCATGTCCAGGTGCTCACATGAAATGAAAGTTACTCTTTCATTTGTGAAACAAAGTGAATTTTATGTGACTTTTGAAAAGGTAAAATATGGACCATTGACTCGTGGTAACAGGAAGTGACAACAGACGTAAAGTAATCTTTTGATGCTTTCTGGTCAGAAGTCTTTTTTTTTTCTTTTTCTTTTAAACTTTATTTAAACAAAGTAACCACAAACAAGTAAGACAGTTACAACAGTCTAACTCTGTACAGTGCATTTTGTAGAGGCAGATTACAAAATGGAAATACAAAGTAATATTGATAAGAGAGAAATAATAAAATGAAAAATAAATAAATTTAAAAAAATATATGTATGCATTATAGCAAAGAGGAAGTGACAACAGACGTAAAGTCATCTGTTGGCGCTTTCTGGTCAGCTATCACCTGTGTGTAATTTTCAGTGTAACCCGTCCCGCTGTGGTAATACAGCGCCCCCGTGTGGCTGACCTGAAACGTAACACTCGGATCGCTTTGAGTTCAAACAAGCTAGGCTTGGACGGGATGCGCCGGATAAAGTGGAACATGACAGACCGCCATTTGCCTTTAATGTCCTGATAAACAAAAGGAATGAAATTTGGCTTTGCAGCTGAAGGTGAGTCCCACTGACTGCGCGTGACAGCTGTTCTCCAGCTATCCGTTGTAGCTTGCTAGCTTACGGCGAGCACGATGAGCGATAGCTTGTTCTTCCAGTCTTGTCAGAGAGATTGTAGGCACACCGAGCTCTGTTCAAAGTCACACCATACCCGTTTAGTTCGCGTCAGGAAAACATATGTTACCTCTTTTATTAAGTCATTTAAAAATGCTGCGTAATTGAGGCGAGTTGTGTCGCTTCGTTCGGGTTGTGATGTCAACATCCCGGTCAGTATTCCCCATTGTGCAACGTTTGTGTTGGTAGTTGTGCCTGCCTCGACCCTCAGGTGAACTCAGAATAACTCTTTGACGTTCCGCTGGAGGAATGTATTTTGGAGGTTATAGTGGAAAATAACCTCCAATATGGGAAGACTGATTATTTAATTGTCAAATCGTTGGATTAGTGGGATCGGTGTCATTTATTCATGCTAACATGTGAGTGTTTTGCTGACGCGTTGTTTTCCAACTCAGATTTGCAATTAAATACCATGGAAGTGTTTTATTAGCTCTATTTACACATTTCGTTTTAGTGCTGAATGTGTTCACACATCTACAAACATTTTACATTCAGGTCAGTCATATAGGCAGGTCACATGTCGTGCGTTTTATTTGCAGACTGCCCCCTATGGAAGTCCAGAAGTGTCCGGAATGTCATTATTTGAGTGATTGATTTAAAAATATTAATTAATATAATTAAGTATATTATGAATTTATTATTGCAGTGTTTTATGCATATATATATATAAACAAATAAGTATGTATTATTTATTTTATTTAGTTTTGTCATAGTCATATTCAGCAAAAAAAAAAATAGATTTTTCACAAATTAAATCTTCAAAAACCAAAAATTCAATTTGATAACCTTGATTTATTGCCCAGCCCTGCTGTATTGTAAAATTGTAAATGACATGCGGTACATAATAATTCATCTGATGTCCTTAATGCCGCAAGTAGCACATAGATTTAACCACATTTCAAGCAATGTGATGTTTTCTTTGTCGTTTATTTAATTAAAAACATGAAAATTCTTTCATACTGCGTCTTCAGGGTGAATGTCATCCTGTCAAGCTCAACGCCGCTGTTAGACCTCGCCGTCGTACGAAACTACTGAGGGCAGCCCAGGTCTGCATTGGTGTGAAACGCCTCGGCTTCCAGCGCCAAACTCAGGGAGATGGCTTCACCCTTCGTGCCTGTCCCTGTCCCCATGGACAGAGCGCTGTCCGGCGGCAGGCTGAGGCGGCCGCAGCGCGCTGCGTCTCTCGGGAGCGTCTCCAGCGGTTCTGAGTCCTCGTCCCCCATCACCAGGTCAGTGGGGGACGAGCGGAGTCGGACCGGCGGCGAGTCGGAATCGCAGCGGCAGTCGCGCTGCGCGGACAGAGCCATCCGCAGCCTGACGCCCCCACCGCCGCAGAGCCCCGTGACCCGGGCCAGGGTGAACGGAACGGTGGAGGCATCCGTCCAGTACTCGACGTGCCCTCGCTCCATGTCGGACCCCGCCGGGCGTCAGCAGGCGGAGGAGAGGCCGATCACCCCGACCGTGCTGGGGTACGAGGTCATGGAGGAGAGAGCCAAGTTCACGGTAACAACCTGAAGATGTGATTGCCTAGCAACTGCTTTGATGGAAGCTTTTCACTGATGATCAGTCTGACTGTATCAGGGGGGTCCAAACGCTTTGGGACAAAATCTACAGCTCAAAAATTCTCGCAGGTCAAAAAAGAGACAACTGTGAAAATACAAATCCTCTTTCAGTCCTACTAATCAGAGCTTTTTGCATGTTGTGCTGAGAGTCAGGATTGTGTGTCATGAATTGACTGCAATGCTAAAATGATTTCATTTTATTTCACACATCGCTATATGCTTACAGCTTCAAGTTTCATTTTCTGCAGGTTTACAAGCTGCTGGTGAGGAAGAGTCAAGACGAGAATTGGGTCGTGTTTAGAAGATACACTGACTTCTCCAGACTCAACGACAAGGTGCTTTTGATTATCTATTATTATTTACTTTCGTAATAATTTTTTTTTTTCCGCCGCCTTCGTGCAGCCGTCCCAGATGTCCTGGACGTTTTCCGGTCCAGTCTTTGTTGTCTCGTGCTGGTGTTTGCAAACACTCTGTCATCAGGCTGCTTTCTCTGTTGAGCATGCCTTGAAAGCGGTCAGAGCTGCACAAAGAAGCTATCTGTTCCCACTCAGCCAGCAGGCCCGAGCCCACAAGGTGGATGGCGCTCTCACGGCTCAGGGAAGGAATGTTTGATACAGATTACATAGGCAGGAAATGCAGAGGCGTTTGGAGGCCATCCGTGCTGCTCAGCGCATAATAGTATGAGGATATTAGTAGAGATCATGTCAGGTTTGTTCTCAACTATAATGGCTGTCTCTGAATCTGGGGTTGACCCTGCTTGTTGAAACTAAAAAAATATATTTTTTATCAGGTACTTTTGTTGAAAGGAACTTATCACATTTACTGACAAAACTGCGCTGGGATATTTGTCATTTTTCCTGTAAAGTTGTTGGTTTATGCAAGTTTTATACTATTTTTGTTCTCTGTGTGTGTTTTCCCCTCCAGCTAAAGGAAATGTTCCCCAGCTTCCGACTCTCTCTGCCTCCTAAGAGGTGGTTTAAAGACAACTACGACAGCGACTTCCTGGAGGACAGGCAGCTGGGGCTACAGGCATTTTTGCAGAACTTGGTTGCACACAAAGACATCGCCAACTGGTACTTAGAAAAACTGGATTAGTCGACGCTGCTGCTTCAATTCTTTGTCCGTGTATCTCAACTTAACAGAGAGTCAGCATCCGTATCTGACATAAGCAGCCTTTAATGTCATTTCATCACTGATTTATTCAATAAAAAGTCACACATGGTTCTGTTTTTGTGCTTGCTCTCTTTGACAGCCTTCCAGTGAGGGAGTTTTTGTGCCTCGATGATCCTCCGGGGCCTTTTGACAGCCTTGAGGAGAGCAGGGTAAGCATACACAGAGCAAGTGATTCCTCTTCTCAATCAATTGAGTGAAAGTAAATAGAAGCCGTGTGTTGGTTATTACTGATGGATAATCCAGTAATAACCAACGTTTTGATGAGAAATCTCTATACCAACTAATGACAAACGGGAATCTATTTTTAGAGATGCACTGATCTGATAGGAATGTATGTATCGGTCCCGATATTGATAATGTGCCTGATCCATTACGCTGGATCTGTTCAGTCTAATTCTAAAAGAAATGTTTTGCATCAATTCAGAATTGATTTCCTGTATTGGATCGGTATCGGCTAATATTTAACCTCGGGTATCGGTATCAAAGTGGGGGGGGGAAAGTGTATCGTGCATCTCTAACTATTTTTGTAGAAACAAACAGGTAAGGGTGCCCTGGTACAACTTTTTCACTTCTGATACGATACCAATATCACAGCTTTGAGTATTGGCCGATATCGATATTCACTTGATACAATTTCAGCACAATCAGGTATACTTTTATTAGTTATTGTGTTGTGTGGAATATTAGAAAGGGCTTGATCAAGCGATATTACTCTGATACTCACGTTTTGGCTGATATTAGACCAATTTTCCACATCGGTATCAGATTGGAACAGGACTAGAGTAGTCCTGGTGTTTCTGAAGTTACATTCTTCATATATTTAGACCTCCCTGCATTTTTGAGCTCCTTTAGTTGTATTTGCTGGGATTATTTTTGACAGACTCCCTTTGTTATGTAACAGAGTGGGTTGGAAAAGAAGCACAAGGCATAAAACGGCAGATTTGTGATGCTGGATGGCTCCGTGTGAGAGCAGTTCTGTTGCTTTAAGGAGCACTCCAGCCGGGTCTCATTTCCTGACACCTGGCTGGCAAAGAAAACCAGAACCATCCTGCTTCTGCAGAGAGAAGTTGTTCAGGTTCCTGAAAAGTTCGCCAAGGGCGCTTTTTGTAATTTATGCTGCTCAAACTTTGTGTTCATCTGGGACCAGCAGGGGGACTGAGGAACTGGATCTCTTTGTTCTTTTGAGTCCAGAAATGATAAGATCAGAAAAGATTCAATCATCAAAGTCAGATGGAAACTCAGCATCTTCCTCATTTTTAGTACAATGATGTTGGAGCACCATTTATCTTCCTTTGCACCGATTGCTTGTAACCGCAAGAGTGGAGACAAGAAAGTCTGTCTGACAAGTGTCAGTCTGTCATATATTAAATATTTTTCCTCTCTTCAGGCGTTCTGTGAGACGCTGGAGGAAAGCAACTACCGCCTGCAGAAGGAGCTGCTGGAGAAGCAGAAAGAGATTGACTCTCTGAAGAGGAAACTGGAGGAAAAGGAGCAGACCATCCTGACGCTGGAGAAGCACGCCAAGTCAGTTGACCAAACATCGCCTCACTAATATTTATAGTGGGTTTTTATTGACACATCCTGTCACTCATGGATGTGTAATCGTTGCAGTGGAGGAAGCCTGGGGTCTCCCTGCGGTCTGTCGACTCAGGGAAGCGAGAGCAGTGCAGACGCCGACGTGGAGTCGTCTGCAGCAGAGGCGGATCAGGACACGCCCGGCGACACGGGGTAAAACACACACCCAAACAGCAAATATTATAAAGATACATGAGTGGTTACTCCACCCTGATTCACAGGTGTTAAATTACCTCACTTCTCTGCTAAACTTTTGACTTTATCAAATGAGCTGAAATATTAAGTCAAATTTGTGAATTGAACCTTGACATTGGACCCTTGCCTTGCATTTTGGTCACTTTTTATTCCTTTAACAAGTTGTCACCTGGCAGGGGGAGTGCATTAATCAGAGAATGCAGCCAAGAAAGAGGTTCTAATTTCAGAAAAGTAGCTATTGATTGCAAACAATTCTGATCAGAGTTGAGTTCTTAAAAGCATTCCTCGCTATAGCGAAAGCATAAATACTAATGTAATCCAATCTGACAGGGTGCAAAATGGTGGTTTTATTATGTCCATAAAAGTTACTGAACATAGTTCTGTTTATGTTTGTCCCAGTGGTATTCACAATGAAGGAACAAGTACATTTAATGGGAGCTTTTGAAGGACGGCCAGAAATGAAGTGCGTAGAATCACAATTTTTCACATTCAGCAGGAAAATAAAACTTTCAGAAACAATACTGATGATCTTGTCAGCTAGTTTACAGTGAAAATCGCAAAATATTTTAAAAGATGTAAAAACTCTCGGACTTCAAATTGTGATTATTCACAATTAATCGGTTATTGAAATAATAATGAACTTGTTCAATAATAGATTAATGAGTCACTGAGTTTACATCGACTCAAAAAAGGCCATTTGCTGACAGAGCAATGTAGCAAAACTGTGCAGAAGACATTTAGCTTTTGAGATGAAAAATCTTCTTTGGTTTTAAATATGTTCTACCCAAAACTCATAAAGCACCATAGTAGATTGCTGCTATATTGCATGCTATATTGTTGCATTTAAAATGTTTATTTATTTAAAGTAAACATTTTACTTGAAATAAGTAAAATGCTTATTTTCTTATTTAAAAAAGGAGTTAAATTCTTTATTAGCATCTTTTAATGTATTTCTGATATTGCATAAAACAAATCCTGGTTTTTAAGCAAAGAGTCTGCAAACTGTGTCAATAGTACATCTGAGTAATCGTCAGAATAATTGATAGAATAATTCATTACTAAAAGAATCATTAGTTCTAGCCATGAATAGAGCCATGAACCAAAGATGAAAGCATTTAGCAACTCTCTCCTCCACAGCTATGAGTGGAGGAACCTGTGCTGGGAGCTTCAACCTCTCAGTGCCTCTTTTGCTGTCAAATTTGGGCAAATGTGTCTGAAATACGAGAGAAATCTGGGCTTCAATCTGGATAAATCAGAGCTTGTTCGTCAAGAGCGAACATGATCTCAAAACCAGGCGCTCCACGATTAAAAGAGTCTAATCAGTAATTATTTTCTAGTCTTTAAAGAGTTCCTGTTTGTGATGATTTCTTTCCCCTGGATATTTCACAGCAGGGCAGCTCCCGTCTGAAAGCACAGCGGCTTTACTCGTCAGGTATTATGACAGCTAACTCGACAGGCTGAACTGCGGCATTCTTACTAGTAACACGCATCCCATCATCTGTGCTATAAAGGTGTTCTGTTACGTGTTGTCAGGGGGCTCAAAGCTGCTCCCCCCCACGTCTCTTTCTACAAGTCTTGCATGCTAAATGTGCCGCTAACTTTGCCGTTTCTCCTGTCTAATGGCTGAAGATGGTCTGTATGTTTGTCTTGCTGTGGAAACGTAATTTCTTGTGTTTTTGCCTGTTTTCTCACAGAACAATGTCTTGAAACAATGAAGTGTGACAAAAAGGCAAAAAAATAAGAAGTCTGTAAGCAGGTGGAAATATTCCTTCACAGCATTATACATGTTACTTATTTAAAAGCTGCTGCTGAAGCTGGGATGAGTTTGTTTTCAGCGTAGCAAGTTCAGGTTGTCTCCTTCTCCTCCCTCGCATGGTTACTTTCTTTCATGATGGACGTGATGACACATTTCAAAGTACCTCCTGAGGCTCGGCAGCTGATGTTTAGAGTAGAAACATCGCTGCTGGCCACAGAAACGCTTTGGATAGAGGTGTCACAATACCTGGCTGATTGCAAGGCTTTCATGTGATGTGTGAAGGAAACCTAAGAAGACCCGACCTCCCCCTCAGCTGTGGTGTGGATTCATCGTGTGGCCATGTCCTGTGCCTCTCCAACCTTTTTGGACATATTTGGACCTTTTCCACTAATAGCTACTCCGCGCGGCTCGACTCTGTTACAATGGTTTCCCATTAGTAAGCATTCAGTCGGGCTAAAAACGCAATGTCTAAAGACTGCCGGTTACTGATTACTTTTTACATTCTCTGTTTGTTTTTTTTTCTCTGGTGTGTTTCAGTTCGCCTTTTCTGAGTCTCTTCTGTATGGAGTGGAAAGAAATGAGGAAAACAAAGCTGCATACGGTTCAACAGAGCTTTCACGTCACTATTGTAGCATTGTCTATGTTGTGTACAAATCGCTTTGTGCTATTTTTCGGACTGTGGAACTGCATAGCTATATAACGACCCAACCGAATAGAGCTGGAACTCAGTGTTAATGATTTAAGTTTTTTGAAGAAAGTCGGAAATACTGATTCTGATTTTGGCCGATACCAATTTTATTTTTGTTTGAAAAGTCACTAATTGAGAATAGGAATACCTTTATTAGACCCTCAGTGGGAGCAGATGTAGATCTTGTCCTCAGGAATGAAAAACAAACATTATCAGACATGGGTGTAATAATAATAATGTTGCTATGGTGACAACGTTAGCAACTATGCTAACTGCGCATGTGCAAATGTGACCTGTTGGGCGGGTCTATCAGTCAGCTGTCTCACGGGCATAGGAAAAGGGGACAGTGGCTGATTTTAGACCTTTGCAAATGTAGATATCAGTTTCATATGCAAGTATCGGACGATGACTGAAAATTCCGGAAATCGGGGCTGATCTGTCGATGCACCGCTAAAAACCACCAGAAACCGTGTAGAGTTGAGCAAGGAGGAGCCGCGCTGTTAGCTGCTATATGCTAGCTGCTAGCTGGAAAAGGTCCATCATGTTGTACAACTAACACCTTCGCCGACTTCTTCTCACACAGTGGTGTGTGTTCACTGTGTGTCTCTTTCAGTGGCTGTCTCGTAACTAAGGCTGTTCTGCAGGCCCTTGCAAAAGTATTTGTGCCTCTTGAACGTTTCCTCATTTTGTCACATTCCAGCCGACTTCAATGAATTTGTGCAAGACATAATTAAAGATATATGGTTTATTTGCCATAGTGCAGATGTCATTTGAGTTCCCGTTACCCTTTAACATAATTTCATCCACAAAGTTGATATTTTAGTCAACAATCTGAGCAAATGGCATCACCAAGGAAGACCAAGCGGACACGTTAGGACGAAAGTTGCATAGGCTTTTTTATACCAGGTTTAGGCATAAAAGATATCCAAAACTTTGAATATCTGAAAAGGAAAATGTTCTTACAACTGTAAACCCAGCAAGACATGGCGGCCAGGCAAAAAAACGTCAGTGAGAGAGAGGAGCAGCCAGGAAGCTGCTGGATCTACAGAGATCCAGTCGTCAGGTGAGACAGTCTGTTGACAGGAAATCACTTCACCTACGTACAAAATGTTGCATGTGGCAAAAATTAACAGCACACTTCATTCTGAAGGGAGGCTTCCTGCTGTAAAATACAGTTTTGATTGAAGCATGTTTATGGTTTAAAGCGGCCCTGTCAAAGTCCAGAACAACATCCAGAAGAGAATGGAAACATTCAGTTTGCCTAAGGTCAAAAATGTCAAGTGAACAGACTTGCACTAATGCTATTGGCTGACTCTAAATTTTATTACACTTTCCGTATTTCACTGTGAAAAGTTTGAAGTCGTCTATAATTTTATTTTCATGTCATAATTAAGTCTTCAACAAAATTCCAATAAATGACATTAAAGTTTGTGATTAGGCCATGACAAAATGCGGAAAAGTCAAAGTTTTATGAATACATCTGCAAAGCACCACCTCTTTTTTTCTTGTGTCCATGTTTTTTTTCTCTTTAACAATATCAGTCTTTCATTTCTGGTCATTTCTTACATTATTTTCAATAAGAAGTGAAGTAAGCTGTGTTTTGTCTTGGCAGTGGCAGGTGTCGGCTCCAGCCGGTGCGGTCCGCCGCCTGTTGGTGCGGCCCGGCGCTCAGCACCTCTCCTCCGGTCATCCAGGTCACTCAGCTGTTCCACAAGAACCCTTGAAGCCCAACGCCAAGCCTTTTCTTTTTTTTTTTTCTCCCGTCCCCCTCCGTTGTCCAATTGGCTTCGCCTTTCACATCACTTCGACTTCCTCCATCTCTCAGGCTGGAACTGCTGTTTGCCCTCAGAGGGGGCAGAGCTCGACCCGATGCACGGAGAGGAAATAGTTTCACGCTGACACCACTTGTGGGTTATTTAACCCGGCACCTGAAACACTTTAGAAAACCCGACAACCTCAAGACGAAAAGCCGAGCCGGGTCGCTCTCTAATCTCCTCCTGCTTCTGCCAGGTCGAGTTTGTGATAATTTTGCCTCCGGAAAGCGTGGCTCCGACGAAACTTGTACCGACAATCGACAACAAAAGTAACCACTGACATCCCCGGACGTTTGTTGCCTTTTTGAGAAGACAGCTTCTCCGAACTGAGAAACAGCACCCCCTTGTGGCTTTTCTGAGCAGATGTACCCAAGTGGGTTTTGTCACAGTCAACATCCACTGATTGTTATCGGTGTAAACAAACCATCGGTTTGCATCGTGAAGCCAACATTCCCTCTTGTCTCAAGTGCCAAGTGCGGTTAGGAAGCGTCAACAAATCAAGATGGAGACATGAGATGCAATAGCTGACACATTTCATAACTAAATAGAAGAAAGAAAAAAAAAACATGACATTTGTTAGTAGCTACAGTCATTGTTTAGTAATGTAGATACACTACATAAAAAAATCTGAGTATTTTTGATCTATGTTGTAGTGCAAATATCTCACTTTTGTCTTATTTCAAGTGTACTGACTTGCAAGAAACATACCAAATTCCTTTATATAAGTGTAAAAAGTTCTAGTTCCACATATAACTATTACTTTTTCACCAGTATTAGGAAATTATTGGCTTTAATCAAGTTCTTATATCTTGCTGAAAAGTTACTTTTATCTTATTACAAGTGTAATAAAATATTTGCACTAGAAATTAGACCAAAAACGCTTGGTAATATTTATTGTTTTTTTGCAGTGTATCAGTAGAAGACCATTTCAGACAGTTTACTTCCAAACATCTACATGTTAACATGCAGCTTTGTGTTTGAGCTATGGAAGATGTTACATCAACACGTGCACTTTAAGATACCGGACTCTAGATTATTGCGGTTTCCGTAAAGACGATTTGCTATTTACACTTGATGTATTTAATTTATTCAACACTAAGTCAGATTTCAAAAGAAAATGTTTTACTTCCCAACCGTCACAGTTGACATCGGGGAGTTCAGGTGGCTTGATCGGCCAAGTGACCGCGAGTTTAAACTACAAGAGAAAGACTGTGTTGAACCAAGACTTGGCGAAAAGCAGCCCATCTTTCACATCGCGAATGGTGCTAATTAACTCTGAAGCGGGAAACACTTCTCTGAAAACGTCACACCCAGACTGTTCCTGGTGAACACGTCACCTACACAAGCCATACTTATTTTTTACTTTTATTTTTTCAATCCAAGCAACTCCGGAAAGGCAGACGCATCTGCGGCTTTCGCTCTTTAATCGTTGTTTAAGGGGTGGGAGGGACGCGGAGCAGCTGACGGCGTCTCGCGCTCGGCCTGGAACGGCTCGGGTCTTGCACTTTATGGATGAATGGCGAAGCTTAATGACCGCTCGGATGTTGTTTTTACTCTTCCTAAGAAGGCCACATGCCTTTTTGATCACTACAAGCCGTTTTGGTTTCCGACGGGGTCTAAGATGTTAATATTTCGTTTTATAATCTGTGCCGCTCTGGATATTTGCCTCTTGCATCATTAAGTGCCTTGAAGGGTTGTGTTGTTGTTTTCTTAGGTTCTCTTCTGATGAGTTGGGATTGCTTTATAGATTTATGCAGGACATGAAACATATCCTCTCTCTCTCCCTGTGATGGAAAGGTTTTAAATAACACTCTTGTGTATATATTTATTGTTGTTTTGAATAGATATGTTTTTGTAATATTACACAAATTGAATCTTAGCTTATTTACACCTGTAGTTTCACTTTAAAAATATATAAACGTATATGCGAACAACAAGCTCCAAACTATGAAAAGGATGCTGTAGACTCTGTAACACACGCTGTTTATTATGTTAAAAAAAATCAATATTCACATGATTAAAGAGGGAGTAACGTATTGAACACACCTACCTTTGTTTTCTGTTTTCTTATGTTTAAAGTTGGTGTTACCACGGCAATAAATGGTGCCAGGAACCTGTGAAATAAAATTTTGGATCTATCTGCTGTGATGTTGTGACGTAAGATTTTTTTTTTAAGGGGACGGAGGGGAAAAGACGCTTTCTAAGAGTTCTGGTTATTTAAAGTGGAAAAATAGGCTCTCGTTACTCATGATGTTTACTTTTCAGCTCTCAGTTTCGCAAAGTGCCGCTTTATTGCCAAACGCCATTCACTAGATTAGCGGCTTACGTTGTGGATCGCTCATATGGGACCCATTTCAGTCGTTTGACATGAAAGAGTCGGCTGAAGTCAGATGTTTGGTTCAAGATGGAGCTTATCAAACCGATGTTCCTGCGCTGCCGCTTTTATTATCCCTCTGAGACGCGAATGGGGTTCGAAACCGGGACGCGGTGTCCAAGTTTCAGTTTGTTTGCCCAACGATGTCATGGGTCGTTTCAAGATTTTTCTTTGAGAAAGCACGACTGCAGTTTTCATTTTATTTTTCTTTCTCTCAACAATACATATGAACAGTTCGTGTCACAACTTAATGAAATCATGAGTGAACGTTGGCTATTCAGCTCAGACTATTGCGGACATATTTCAAATACACAACAAAACATCAGCTCATTCAGTGTCGCCTCATTGTCGTTATTTGCAGAAAGAGATTTAGATCATTTATCTCACTGTCAAGCCTGTTCCACAAACTGACGCCATTAATAGGAATGCATCTCTCCATCGTCGCCGTTCTGCTTGGGCTATCGGTTGTGAAAATATGAGCTCATAAAAGAAGCACCAGATCCACTAAAACTTGCCATTTGGCATAACAAAAGCAACTTATGTCAAAGTTATCTCTTAAATTTCAGACGACCAGACGTCCGAACTGGTTTTGTAAACTTTCGCCTAGATGAAAAGTTCTCCATCAGTTCCCGTCTGTGTTGTCCATCACATCGTGTCTTCTGGCGTGTCAGGAAGCGGTTAAACTGCGTGTAGATACAATTAGGGAAATTGCATAACGTCTTCATTCCTGCGAACCATAATAATCTCCATGCTCTCTTCAATACTTTTCTTGGGATCAAAACCCAACGTGCCAAATTGTATAATTTGACAGACTTTTGGAGACGTTATCTACAGACCTTTGTTTATTTTTTTTGTTTTTTATTTCTGCTCCTGATCTAAAGTTTGCGCCACAGTTAGAGGAGGCTACCTCTCCTGACTTGGCTGTTGCTACTTATAAAGCAGTTAAAATCACTTGACAGCGGGTTCCTAAATAGAAACATCACACAAAGTCCAAATTGTCCAACGCTTGTTAGAGATGAACCGAAAGAAGAAAATCAGGCCCATTGAAAATGGATTGCGGTGGGTAATAAGCAGTCATAAGGACGCAGTAATGTTCCATTTCTTTTTTGCGACCGTCTGTAATCCAAAAGATGTTGTAGTCCACGCCTGTTGTGCCGAGAGAAATCGAGTGAAGTTCAGAATTGTGGTATTTGTGAGGACTGAAGCTGTTTTATAAGATCACGCTGTCGTCAAATTCACCGTTTACTGTCCCCAAAGGTTTGACACCTATAAAATGTTCCCTGCAGGTCAGATTACAACAAACCAGCATATTAGCTTGTGAGGTGACAAGATCCGCGTTCTTTCTTTAAGGCTTCCTACAGAGCTAGTGACATCAGAAGACAATAAATGTACTTAACTCACTTTGCACCAGATGATAAAAAAAGTCAAGGATTATTAGGCAAATGCTAATTTTTTTTAACCCAAAAATTAGTTACTGTTCTGACAAATGTCAAGAACCCCTTTTGCACTAGAAAACATGGATTTTTATCAGCGTTTAAGTTGATAGTGGTCCCATATTTGGCTGCTGTATTTGCAGCTGTGGCAGTCACCTGGTATCAGTTAGTTAAATGAGGTCATGATGGGGACATTTTAGAAAACGTCAAGTTTTTTTATGCAATCTCATTAGGCCATGTTACATAGCCACACTTTAAGGAAACACATGATTCGAGTGTGAAAAGCCACCAGATGCTGTTGACCTTTAGCCTGTATAGAAAAACAAACTAATGCAAATATAAGATGTTCATTAAAAATAAATCTGATTAACTTTGGGTCAAACTCAAAGGTGTCTGTTGAAACAGAGGCTTTTTTTTCTTGGTCGGCACACTGTGTGTGAAACTTGCAGTTTTATTAAATATGGCATTATGGCATAACTTCCTCTTGTACAAGCGAGTGGCAAGTAAAGTACATGAAGCTTTCGATTTCAATCTCGCCAAACAACATTTACCCAGTTTTCACAAGCAGATTCTGACAGCAAAAAAGACCGAGAGGAAAAACCCCAAGAGGGCCGTTTTCCGTGACCCAGTCTTAATCTAAGAGTGTTCACCGGTTCTTGTACGTGTGCCAGGCCTCCTACTGGCCCCTGCAGCAGAAAGTAGCAGTAAAACGGGCAGATTGATGCCTCGTGAATCACATCCATATGGTTTGAACTTGCTGGTGTCGCGACTGTGGCCCCCGAAGCCCATGAGTGTCCATGTTTTGATAAAACTAAAGGCCAGAAATTTCAACTCCACGCCGCATGGAGCCACACAAGCAGGCGGAGGGAAAGATGCGATTGAGGAAGGAACCCATTCGAAGCTGCTTGAATGGCTTTTCGCTCTAAAAACAGGATAAAAGCTGGAAACAACCGTAATGATTTAAGGTTCTCTTAAACCGAGCTGATATTTTGAGAGTTTTTTCTATTGCTTTGCTTTCATACCAAGCAGATACTTTGCCCAGATCAGCTTTAAGTGCTCTGTTTTTGAATTCAATACTGTGATATATTTGATTCATGAAACCAGACGGATCGTCTGCTGCGATGTTTTTGAAATGGGAGTTGTTTCAAGTCCAATTTGACTGCCCTAAACGTCCAACTCTGCAGTTATATGACATTCAAACTTTTTTATATAAAAATAGAGATTTGTTTCTGAAGATTTGTTATTTTTATGTCTTCGGTGATATGCTAACCTGACAGTAACCTTAATCTTGCAGAAAGGAAATCTGTAAATTATTGGCAATCCTGTTACCAATAATTAAATAATTAATTTATTTACTCTTTTATTTTTTTGCACAGTTTGGAAAATGAAAAGATAAGCATTTTCCAAAACTTTTTTTGTGTTTTTTTTTCTTTTTACGTTAACACAACAAATGTCGGACATCTGTCTTCAGCTTAATCAGTGTAATCAATGAAGACATAAAAACAAAAACACTTTGTGTTGAAACCTAAATAAATGAATGTCTAAAGAGATGTTGTCCGAAAATCTTGAATCATTCACAAATTGTGGAGAGAGGACCCGAACGACATCATCCAGAGGGCTGCAAATGGCCCACGGTCCACACTTTGGACATCCCTGCTTAACGTAACACAATTGGATTTAACACGCATGTCACTGGTGTTTGCTCTGCTGACAGGCAGGGAGGGGTGTGTGTGCTGCAAGTGCGAGCCTGCCTTTCGAATAAGTACGAGCCGAGGACCACGGGGAGGCAGAGAGCAGGACTCCTTCCACTCACAGTCAGCATGAAGTTGGCAGTTCAGTGTTTGTGCTTTTTGCATTTCGCCCTTCTCAGTTTTGGACTGGACACGTACATTTCACTCAGCAGAAGCAAGGCCTCTCACATTGATGGTAAGTGACTTGGAGAGAGTTGTTGTTTTGTTTTTTTTAATCAATTTATTTTTTGCATTCATGTAGCAAATAATAAAATACAAGTTATGCTGATGAGTTACGTAAAAACAAATGACTGTCTGAATTCGTGTCAGAGTTTAAATCTCATGAAACCATGACATGTTTATCAAAACTTGTAGAATAGGTTGAACTATGCAAAGTTTGATTGAGCACATAGTTAATTGTAAATTAAATTAAAATAGTTTTTTTTAGCATTTCAACTGGACCATGGTCATTGTTGACAGGACTGGAGGATATGAAATGAATGCAGTTGAGTCCGCAAGTGAAATTTGAACTGGACTTTTTAAAAATTTTACCAACATGATCCTGTGTTAACATCCAAAACGCTGCTCAGTGATTCGATTTCTGTTATACCGATCATTCTGAAGTATATCATTTCTTTTGGCCATTTTTATTTAAACTCAAGATCTCTCAAATAATAATAAAAAGTATGTATTCTTTTTACTTTGTGTCATCTTTTGAGAGGCGCCAACATCGTAGGAGAAACAAACCTAACTGGGCTTCAGCGCAGAAACTTTTATCAACCACAAGACTCACAGAAGTTGCTCAATTTGACAACATTCCTGTATTTATCCTCAAAGCAAACCATTTTAAACGTAGCCCTGCTAATCCCTGCTGGACAGCATGCAGACCGGATGAGTTCGGGCAACAGTTGAAAGAAGCTGACTGGAGTCCAACGTCAAGTTTGTGGTCAAAACGACACGCTTCAACATTGGTTTTTAATGGCTCGTGTTTGACAGTGTCCAAAATTCCTCTTTTTATTGTGTGTAAATCACATGTGGCTGCTAATCTTAAACATGGTACTAATTTTTCAATGGGAGGAAGGCGAAATGTCAGTGTCGGCATGATGGGAACTCTGAGGCTTTCTGTGCAAAAACAAAAAAGACCCCGGTCTCTGGTGCTTCACTCACTTTTATGGCTGCAGAGGTTTATGGTAGGAAGTGATTTGTGTGATAAATGAGACAGTTTTGTATACCCCTTGATTTATTGCCACAGAATGGACCGGTCTCATCTGTGTCACAGTAGGACATGAGAAGAAAAGAGGGGAGAAGGAGCCTCTGGGTTATCAAAGGTTTGAGCTGGGAGTAGAAGTTTCTTATGTGTCCAGCACAAATCGCCCCCCCACCGTTTTAAACCACCTTCCACTCCACCTACACTTCACAAAGCCAAGCAATTGCACCACGAATCAGTCGAGCGAAACGAGAGGCCGCGAGCCCCGACATCCTGTCACCTGTCAGGAACTGACCTTTGGAACATGGGCGCAACCATTAACTCGTCCGTCTCAGCAGTTGCTGCAGCATCAGCCGTAAGAAGCTTTAATGGGTTTGAGGGAAATTCTGCTGAAGGAGTGACAAAGGTTAAACTCTGTTTGAGGAGCTAGGATTCCTTTCAGTGGGAACATATGAGGGTCGTCCAGGTTCAGCTTGTAACATTGCAAATTGGGTGTTCAAGCATATTTCATCTGACAGGAAAATTGTTTTTTTTATTTTTTTGTCAAAAAAGCGGGTTTTAAGTTACGATTCAGATTAGAAAACACACACAAAAAAGTAATTACGCTGAACTGTCTGATAAAGTAGCTGCAGAGGTCAGTTTAAGTTTTAGAAAGCTGCGCAAAAGAACTTCAGTAGACAGAAAAAGAGGAATTTGCATCATATGTTAGAATGTCCTAGTCAAAGTTCAGATCTAAATCAAACAAGCAATCTCTGGTGATCTTGAAAATTAACGTGTACAGATGTTCTCTACCTAATTTGTCTCAGTTTGAGATATTTTTGCAAAAGGCATACACCAAAAGCTCTCAGCTGTCAAGAGTTTATGAGAGGAAATTATATTAAAATTATTTAAAAATGTCTCAAGGAGATTAAAAAAAAAAAAAAAACAGGAAGTAGATAAAGAATAATTGTTTTTTGTTTGTTCGTCTTTTCACAAATTCTTATTTGGATATAAGATTGGACTTTGACTAGGCCATTCGAACACACATTTATTACAAAGTATCAGAGTAAAAATGAAAATCTCCTTTTTCAGTTTTTTCATCATAAATGCTTTGCCTTTTGGCTCCGCAGTTAGAGCGAGTTCAGTCAGACAGGAACACGTTTTTCATCGAAACATAATTGTTCTAATTTTATTTTATTAGGGCATGTAAACCAAGACAGAGTGAGAACACTGTTTGCCAGGAGGGCACTGTATGAACAGCAGAAGATCCACGAGTCGGTGAGTTGGACATCTTTTTTTTTCTTTAATTGTTTGCTGAACATTTAACATTTTTCACCTATTTCCCAGAAAAAGTCGGGCGTCGTCCCTCATCCTCTGCCTCCGAACGACATTCCTCGACCCAAGGCGGGGGCGCCGAGGCCCCCGGTGACGTCCAGGTGCTCCCTGCTGGGACAGAGCTGCGTTCCGCTGTGCGGCTGCTGCGACCCGTGCGCGACGTGCCACTGCCGCTTTTTCAACGCGATCTGCTTCTGCCGGCGAGCGGAGCGCGCCAGGTCACGGTGCGGGAGCGAAAGAGCAGCGAAGAGAAGGAAGGCGAGAAAAAAAAAGCCAAAGACGCAACCCTAGACACGCACCAGCTCAATGGGGGAGAAGAAAAGAGAAGAGAAAAAAGAAAGTGCCAGTCAGACACTTTGGACGCTGCGAAACGTCGACGCATGTGAATGCGAATTTAATCCTCTCGTAGGAGGCAGCTGCTCGGATTAACTGACCACCGCAAGTGAGATTAAAGTCTCTAAAAGTATTCACAGGGCAATGTTGTGTAGTTGATACAACTTTTATATAACCAGCATGTGACGTGTAGGGATTACATTGTTCCATTAGTTCAATGTTCCAGTGACAAGGACTCAAGGCTTTTCATTTTGTTGCTCAAGTTGACAACTTTATGTCAATAAAGTGCTTTGTGTTTTTATTGATTCCTTCTACTTTTCTCAAGAAGACTGCAGTCATATAATCCACCACAACGAGTTTTTGTCACTGTAAAACGTTTTGGGTTGTTGCAGAAAAAAAACATCAGCTGACATCCTTTCACTGCTGCACTTTGGAGAAGTCCAGCTGAAGTTACTTAGATAATTGGCAGACTGATTCACAAAGGGACATATGATTCTGGGGTCATTATCTTAATGAGTAATACTTCCGAAGAAAAGTGTGTAGATTTGTATCAAAATTGCCTTAAAGGGATGAGGAGCTAAAGGTTCCCCAAATAAGCAAACAAATAAAACAAAGCGAGGGAACGGCTTGGCATCTAACTTTTAGAGTTTCAATGCTGAAACTAAAGAAGGTCTGGTGTTGGGAGCAGGACGGCGTGAGCTGAAGATTTTTGGGACGCGGCCTTCTGACAAAAAGGACAAAAGTGCAAAACAGGCTCTTCTGTCCAAAAACAACATCAAGAACAGAGTGAAACTCTGCAGGAAGTACACCAGCGCGGACCAGTGGGACGAGATTATTATCCTTTTAAGAAATCCTCCTTCAGATTGTTGACGGCATCCGGGAAGCCGGTTTTTGAGGAAAGGAAAGGGCACGAGTTCCCCATGGCCTGGGGAATTAAAATGCAAATGGTACTATTTTCTTTACCTCAACAAAAGCTCAAGCTACCTAAGACCCTGTGCAGAATTTTATGCCAGTCCCTTACAAGGAAAGACCCAAGTAATTAGCAATGTGTCCACCCTTGTCAAATTACATTTTGTTTTGCTGAAAGCTTCCATATTTTTATCCTCCAGCTGACAAAGCTGGAAAGCTGGAAAGATGTTTCTCACAAACCTCAGCAATCCAGTCAGATATATTGCAGACGTTGCCAGGTGCTACAATCCTGTCACATCGCACCTTCGGCTGTGCGAAGGGTTTATATTACCCCACAACACCATGAAATGATGGACGAGCTTCGTGATTGGGTGTGAAATACCTTCCTTATATGCTTGTTCAGCTTGACAGATTTTTTTTTTTTTGAGTTGAGCAGTCTCTCTGAGTCCTGCAAAAAAAAAACATATTGAAACATTTCTAGTTTGACCTTAAAAGTCTCCAATTCTTCCTGTCAGCATGACATTTATTCCCTCACAATTGCAATTGTCCGATGTTGGGTTAGGATTAGGGGGTTAGGGGGCTCTGGGTTAGGGTTAGGGAGATGGCTGACGCTGGAGAAAGTCCCATGAGCAGCTGTGGAAGAAGGTCCGAAACCATGTGCTCTTCTTTGGCCAGCGTCACTGCAGATTTCACCACATCTACTCACGTCGTGTGTAGGCAGGCTTGCCGGTCCAAATGAGGCAGGCTTCACTTGAACGCTACCCTAATCCTACTTTAGGGTTTGGCCATCGTATAGCACACCTCAAGGCGTTGTCCTCGTTTTCTTTCATTGTATTTTAACCCAAAGTTTTTTGACGTGACATATACTTTTTCATTGAATAAACGTCTGCATGTCAGGGCATCAGCATGTTCTGAGAGACCTACGATTAAGGGACAGGTCTACTTCACACTTGCAGAATGACACGTGCACCTGCAAGTGGCGTCCAAACTTTTTGCCCTCTGGGCCAGAACTGACAATTCTGAACAAAATTAAAACTGCAAACATTTGTTCATGTTTGCAGTTTCTACACTAGGCAAAAGAAAAAAGAAGAATGAGCAAAGCAATAATCAAAGATCCAAAAAAGGTTTTGGATCTTATGACAGATAATTACCAGTTGTTTTCTATTTTGTTTGCCAAATTTTGACCATTTTTGACAAGTCACAAGTTGAA